ATTTAACTATAGTTGTGCTTTGCATCTTGCCCTACAGTTAAATTATTTCTGGTAGGAATAAATTCCAATTGTAACAATTTACAACTCTGGTTGGATGATCTGATTTTATTTATTGATCCTACCGCAGTGCCCTAAGTCTCTCATCCTTATGACCAAGACTTAGTTAAGACTAACCCGGGGCGAGTCAGTACCCTAGTTACGGGTTTCGCGCCTAACCAACGTAAACCGGGCGTCTCACTTGGGTGAGTCCGTTACCGATCTAAATTGGGTTTGACGAGTGACGGGGCGTCGGGGTGGCACAGACTTAAAATTATGAGGGATTTATAACGCAGTCTTGCCTATGGCATACACCGCGCGTATGCACTAGCGAAAATCACATACATGCATATATTCAATCATACATCACATGCATAATAAGTAAACGTGAAATGATTGTGGCTCCTAAAGAAAAACAAACGATAGCGCCTTGATCAAGAGATCTCTATCTCCGGCCCATCACGTCTTCCTTAGGATTCTCTATCATGAACGGACTTCGTATTCTAATCTTCTTATAATTTTCGAGAGAAAAGAATATTTGAGGTAAAGAAGAGAATTACATCCAGAGTATAGAGATGAGGCACGTCACGCAGACCGTATTTAAAATTACAACAAATATAACTAAGCCACAATCATCCACCATGCAATAATACATACAAGCATCACATGCATCACATCATACATATTAAAGCATACACCGGGCGAACCGCACTCGCCCCAGACCTAGTTTATTCTATTCTACGGAATAAACTATCAACAATAAATTAATTAAACTAGCAAGTAATTTAATTAAAAATCATAAAATACTTTAAATTTCCAGAATGTTAGAAATTAGATTTTCTAAATTCCAGAAAATAAAATATTTTATATTTACCGTATTTATATATATTTAAATTCGAAAAAGGGCTTTTATTTCGAATTAAATATATATATGTTTTCTAAATTACCAAATAATTGTTGGAGACTCCCAGTAAACTTTATTAATCTGGAAATCCTAAAATTCCAGAATGAATAAAATTTAAAATTTTGAAAACCATTTTTCAAAGCTAGAAAACCGAAATTATATTGTGAAAATATATTTCAAAATTCAAAAAATATCAAAATTTATTTTCTAAGTCAAAAATAAGTTCCAGAACCAGAATATGATTTTTCTAGAATTCAAAATATTAATTTTGCAATTTAAAATAATTAAAAATCGGACTAGTGAATAGTACCAATCCAATTACTTCAAAAATACAAAATAAATACTTTTAGGTGTTTACAAATTATGAAATTTTTTATACAAGCTTAAAGTCTCTGGTCGCAACTTATAATGAATTAAAATTAATTTTTGATCGTCAAAAATAAGTTTTCCTATTTTCTATTCAATAAACGAATTTAAAAATAGAAAATTAGGAAATTAATTCCAAAAATCGATTTTAAAATTTCTGAGTTATATTGACATGTCAAATACTTCTCAGAAAATATAAAATCTTATTTTCATAAATATTAAGTATTTATGGCACAAATAACAAGTATTCTACACATAAACTACTTAATAAGAATAATATAAAAATACCCCAAACAGTAATTCCGAAAATTACTGAACAAAATTATATTAGGTCCAGTATCTAAATATGGCCACCTAATTAAATTTTTAATGGGATAAATTTTTGTCTCCAAAATTTATTGACTAATCTACAAAAACAATAACGGTAAAAACTACTAAACTAGTAACTTCGTAAGCCAGCTCCAACCCACTGTTGGCAAACGAGGCTTGGATAACGCAGCGGATAAAGAAAATTTATAGTCCAAAACTCGATTCCTCCCAAGAACAACTTACGTAAATTACTAGCTATAGTAAGAAATTTACCTTAACGGTGAAAACGAAGAACGGAGGAACGGTCGGGGATGGTTTTGAGGAGATGAACGTAGCGCCAAACGTATGAAGCCTCCAACGTATCCACACGAACTTGCTCCGGAGTCCAAGATTAAACTTGTTCTAGCAAGTTTAATATAGGATAGTAAAAAACTATAATAATACTACTTTGGGAGTAATAAATATATAGTAAAATATTTATCTTATAAATATTTTTATAATATTTTGTGTATATTTCTAACACTTTAGAAAAATAACTTGTAACACAAAATAATAATTTTTCTCCTCTCTCTCTCTATATGGCCGAAAATCACACACACATAAAAATGGGGAGGGATACTCACACTATATAATACAATGTATTAAGAAAATGCTAGGAAATTGCTTAGGGACAAAAA